CCCCAGCCAGCATTCGCTGGCTGGGGAATTCTGGGAGTTAAAGTCCAGGCATCTTCAAGTTGCCAAGGTTGAGAAACATTACTTGCACCGGGATTATTCTTTATACTATTTATGTTGTTTGTATTTGTTGTCATGAATTAGAGAGGGCTGACAGCCCTATGAAGCGGTATATAAGTCTAATAAATAAATAAATAAATAAATAAATAAATAATTGCACTAGTGAGGCTAAAACCAATTTCCTTGTATTTATTTAGTGCAGGGGTGTCTAAATTTGGGAACTTTTAAGACTTGTGAACTTCAATTCCCAGAATTCCCCAGCCAGCCAGTTGAAGTCCACAAGTCTTAAAAGTTCCCAGGTTTGGACACCCCTGCACTAAATACAAGGAAATTGGTTTTAGCCTCACTGGTGCAATTTATTTGTTTGTTTGTTTGTTTGTTTGTTTATTTGTTTATTAGACTTATATACCGCTTCATAGGGCTGTCAGCCCTCTCTAATTCATGACAACAAATACAAACAACATAAATAGTATAAAGAATAATCCTCGTGCAAGTAATGTTTCTCAACCTTGGCAACTTGAAGATGCCTGGACTTCAACTCCCAGAATTGCTGGCTGGGGAATTGCTGGGAGTTGAAGTCCAGACATCTTCCAAGTTGCCAAGGTTGAGAAACACAGAATTAGAGGAAAAGAAAAAAAAAAGAAAGAAAAATGAAAACTAGTCATAACATGTTTGGACACCCCCGATTTAGTACAATGACAATAAAGGCTATACTATATTAATGATCGTCATAGGATGCAAATAAGCAATCAGGAAACAATCAATATAAATCGTGCATGGAGAAGCGCATCGTCTCCCTCCCCCCTCCACGCCCCATTGCATGCCCCACTCCTTCCCAGGCTGCTCCGGGGCAGCGGAGAAGGAGCGGGGCGGCGATCCTCAGCAATGGGGGAAATGCAAGCGAAGACGCGGCTGCAAAATATGCGCCCTGCCCGGGGCGAACGCAACTGAGCATGCGCGCGTGGGCTCTGCCTCTCGTGCCATGGCGCCGGTGCCACGCGGGAAACCGCCCGAGTGGGAAACTTCTCCCCTCCCATGGTGTCCCGAAAGTTCCGGCCTGGAATGAGGCGAGCCGGCGGCCCCATCGTCCGACGAGCTCCGATTGGCTGAGAACGGCGGCCGGAGGAGGCGGGGAGCGCGCTGATTGGTCTGCGTGGCCCCAGCTGGAGCGGCGCGAGCCAATGGCGGGAAAGGGGCGTGTCGCTTACATCGGCGGAGACACGTGTTTGTGTGGGAGAAGGAGGAGGAGGGGATGCGGGCTCCGCTCCCAGTAAGGGCGGACTGGGCGGACTGGGACGGGAGCGCGAGGGCTGGGCAGGCCAGGCCGGGGTCCTGCTGAGGAAGGGAGCAGCGGCAGCAACCGGCGGGGGTCCCCTGCAGCAGCCGCACCATGAGTCCGCCCGTGGCCGGAGAGAAGCGGCCGGTTATGGTCACCTGCACGGCTCCGGTCAACATCGCGGTGATCAAGTACTGTGAGTAGCCGAGTGGAGCCCGCGAAGGACCCGAAGAAGGACTCCCAGGAGGGCGGGTGCTGGTGGTGGTAGTAGTTCAGGCGACTTGGATGGGAGACCACCAGGAGATCCCCAGTCAGAGCTGCAGGTGGGATCAGCAGCCTGGGTGGGGGGGTGGAGCTGATCGAGGGGGCTCCAAGAGGCTTTTGCTCTGGGGTGATGAAAGCACCTTTCCTGCAAAGAGGGGGGGGGGGGGCTGGGAAACCCAAGGAGGAGTGAATGAAGGGCTCGGGAAGAGGAAGGAGTGGGAATAGATGAGGGGACAACTTTATTCCCACCCACCCCCCAAAGTAAAACGAGCCTTCTTGCAGAAGCCTTAAAGTGTGTGGGGGGGGGGCAACTGCTCTTACAGACACAGGTGCCAAATAAGAGCAGGGAGAAACGGGTGTCTTAGGCTGCAAACCTCTACACCTCCCGAGGAAGAGACATGGGTGCATCTGGGTGCAGAGGAAGAATTGGCTAGAGGGAGGGAGATGGGAGCCCCGTTGAAATGAACCGGGTTGCAGTTTTCCGTGTTTTTATTTAGAAGCGGATCCACTGAATGCTTCTTTGTTGAATGCACCTGCAGACTGTGAAGCAATAGGTGGAACTTCTGGTTTTCCACCGTAAACCCAGCCACCCACTCTGGCAGCCAAATCAATAGATCGGGAGAAGGAAGGAAGGCCCTTCCCAAATAATAGGCTCACCTGCCAGCTGTAATTAAAGGCCAGCCTGCTGGCAGCTGAGAGAAAACAGGTTGGGGCAGCTCTGCCAGCCTCCCAATTTATGAGGTGACTTGCCCTGCAATGCTCAGTCTGTCCCCGGTTCAAGCCGTGTCCTCCTTTCCTCATCCAGGGGGAAAACGTGACGAAAAGCTGATCCTGCCTATTAACTCATCCCTCAGCGTCACCCTGCACCAAGATCAGGTTGGTCACGAGGGACCCGTTTTGTTTGGGGTGACCGACTTCTGCCTGCAGAACGAACGTGGTTGAAGGAAGCTCTGCGGCCTCAGGACAATTAAAAAACCTCCTCAAGAACGGCAATTTTAACTGAAAATATTGTTGTTGTTGTTGTTTTAAATATACTTTTTTATTTTCCACTTTCATAACATATAATCACATGTATACTATTACATAGCCAATATCCTATTGTATTAAGTAGTAATTACATCAGTTCCTCTTGTCATCAACGCCCAGAAAGATAAAAACCCATTATTAGCTCTTCTGCTCTCCATACACCTCTTTCTTCTGCCTCTCTCCTACCTCCTTTCTTCCCTCCATCATCCTTTTCTGCTCTACTTCCCCTTCCTTTCTCCTTCTCCTCTCTCTTCATTCCACTCCTCATCCTCCTCATCTTCCCCCCTTACCCTCTCTCCTATCCCTCTCTTCCTATCTTTCTTCTCTCCTCTGTTTCCCACTCTTCCTCTCTCCGATCCCTCTCTTCCCATCTTTCTTCTCTCCTCTGTTTCCCACTCTTCCTCTCTCCTATCCCTCTCTTCCCATCTTTCTTCTCTCCTCTGTTTCCCACTCTTCCTCTCTCCTCTCCCTCTCTTCCCATCTTTCTTCTCTCCTCTGCTTCCCACTCTTCT